TCCGACTGGATTCGTCTGAAAGAAGAAAGTCATATACACCTAGGATGGCTTGAGGGTGAGTAAAACACAGGTTAATTTTCATTTTTGGTGAACTAACCCTTTAAAGCTAATTAAAAAATCAATTAAATTATAAAAATCAATAATGACTCAATTAAATTATAAAAATGGAAAATTAATATAATTTGTAAAGCAGTTTTTAAAAAAATCAAAAGAAATCTAACTAAACAAAGATTCATTTGTCATGTGCCCATTAACCAAAAGCATATAATCTTGAACATGCAAATGTGGTGTTAAATTGAAACATTTTTTGGGTGTATTTTAAAGGGCAGTCTTTGCAACTTCAGGGATCTTATCTATGCACGAACAGCTTGTAACACTCCAAAGAGAAAGGAAAACTTGAAATCGCATCATATGACCCCTTTAAGTAAACTGTTTAGATTCTAAGGGGTTTGGATGACAACAAAATTACGTAATTTAATTACAAAATAAATGTAATTGTAATCAGTTACTGTTACTGAGAAAAAAAACCGTAATTAAATTACAGTTACTTATGAAAGTGTTAACAATTACAAAGGAGGTTACATCTGAATTTTTTCACACACACACCCACACACAGATTTAATTGATTTCTTTACCAAATTGCATTGACTGCTCTAAAATATGAGACACCAATGTTTCAGGAGTTTAGACAGAGGGCACATGCTTATTCAACTGTTTTATTTTCTATTTGGGTTTATGTTTATACTTTATTTTTTAAGATTAACAGTTTTTTTCCCCCAAGGCAATGTTAGATGCCAGTGTTTCCTGTCATAACTATGCAAATATTTAATTTCAAAACCAGTATCATAGCTCAAAGTAAAAAAGTGCTAAAGTCTGATTTTGTGGTGGCTGCGCTTTAAAATTAAATGATTATAATCTCAATTCAAGTGATGAAGGATTTTGAAAGTCTGACAGTAATCAGTGTTGAGTCCTACTGTAAGGTGCTTTAAATGTTTGAAAATTATTAAGAGTTGAAAACATTAGAAATTTATAAAAGTAATCAAATGTAATCAGATAGTTACACTACTTATTACATTTTAAATAGGGTAGCTTGTAATCTGTAATGCTAACATATTACACACAATCCATTTGTGTCTTACAGCTTTGTTCGCCATGGAAATTAACGTCCAGAAGGACTTGCGCACAGGTGAAAGCCAAGTCCTCTCCACCTCCACCATTTCTCCCCAAGAGCTCCAGCAGAAAGGCATCAAAGTCTATGACGATGGCCGGAAGTCCGTCTACGCCCTGCGTACAGATGGCCACCAGCCTGGTGCGAACGGAGTGGATGAACTCAGTCCCGTTGAGGTCGAGCTGCTGCTGAGACAGGCGTCTGAGAAAAAGAAGAGATCCAATCAGGTTCCCTACAACCTCTCCCCTGAGGCCAGTAAAATCAGAGAGCGCCACGAATCCAACGGATACCAAGATCCATATAGCGTCGACTTATCAGCATGGCCTGAGCTTGTGTACAATGATGGTGTGTGCTATCCAGAGAACGTGGGTCATGGACTTCCTCTCCTGCCAATGCCTAATTACAGTGACAGACCAGACGAATACTATCAAAACAGAGGGGAAAGGCACACGCATGGACAGTATAACAACCAAAGAGAGAACCACCAGGGAATGCGACTTTTGGATTGTGACATCAGAAACCACAGCCCGTGTTCGGCCTACTCCGAGGACTCCAAACTCAGCGTCCTGAACGCCATGCCATCGGATGAGCCCGTCACCATGATCTTCATGGGATACCAGAATGCCGAAGATGACAGCCAGAGCTATGAGGGCTCGATTCGGGCAGAGCTGGTGATCATTGGAGACGGTGACGATGAAGCGAGCAAGAGCTTGAACCCCCATCAAAACTCCAATGCCTTTATCTGCTCTGCGGGACGGAAGGGCAAAAGAGACGGCACGGAGGACCCGTCCACTACAGGTACCCCAAAGATTAAAAAGGTCAAAAGGAGACACACACCCTGCTGTGTGTTGATGTAGTTTCACTAACACGCTATCAGCTCTTCTGTGATGCAGCTTCTCACCAGACTGGCTTCTCTCGCTCTGCATGCTGGACACTGCTGTCTTACGTTGTGGTTTTCAGTTTTTCAGTGTCTTAACAAACTGCTTTCTATCATTCATGTTGGCATTTGCTTATGTTGTCTGACGATGTGTGTAGAAACACATTGTTGTATATGTGTAGCTTTAGAGCAGGGGTCTTCAAGTGGCGGTACTGCAATTATCATTTAATCTCAAATCGATTTTTGTTGGGAAAAAAACAGTATTAAGTTAACTAAAAAACACTGCTCAAGTTCATCTACTGTTCAAATGTTTGGGGTTGCCAAGAGATTTTTTTTTTCTTTTAATTCTCTTGCTCACCAAGGCTGCATTTATTTGATCAAAACCCCAGTAAAAACTTTAATATTGTAAAATATCGTTACAATTTAAAATAACTATTTTCTGTTTTAATATATTTTAGAATATTATTTATTTCTGTGATGGCAAAGCTGAATTTTCAGCAGCCATTACTCCAGTCATATGATCATTCAGAAATCACTCTAATACACCAATATGGTGCTAAAGAAACATTTCTCGTCAGTTTTGAATATGGTTGTGCTGCTTAATATTTTGTGGAAATACTGATCTTATTCAGAAATATTTGGTGAACATAAAGTAAAAAAAACAGCATTTAGTTGAAATAGAAATCTTTTGTAACCAAAAAGGTCTTGCTGTTGATTAAAGTCATTTTTGAACAACTAAATGCATGCTTGCGAAATAAAATTCGAACAAAGAAAATCTTTGACTCCAGACTTTTGAGCAGTGTTGTATGTTATTGTACCTGCTCCCATATTAAGATGCATATTATTGTACACAAGTGTGATCAGCACTGATTTTTAATGAATGTGCAACGTAAGTATCATAGGTATGCAAATACATTCTGTAGGGCCTATATACATGTTATTAATGGCCAGGCTTAGAATGAATCTATTAAATCTGACTAAATGTGTCTATATCCACCAAGGGATGCTTGGAAAAAGGTTGAAGACCCCTGATTTAGAGCTGTACCTCCCTCTAGTGGTGAAAGGACGGAAATTCACATCTCTTTCAAAATAATTCATGCATTAAGCAACCACACTCCTTTATTTTCACCTGCCAAACTTTCTATGCTATTTCTTTTGACATTTTGTTAACTGTGCTTTTGCCACTTTGAATAATTAGCATGACAGCATGCAATCTGCTGTGACACGTACAGCCATGCTTGCTGTCATAGATTGTGCTCCTTTTGTCAAGCATCCCCTTTCTTTTGCTTTGACTTTGTGTATACGAGTGTTTTGTGAAAAGCGTGACAGATTAACATTTTTAATAAAACTGATTGAACGAGTCTTGTTTTTTTTTTCTTTTTTTATATTCTGATAAGTTATGATTAAAGGATAGTTCACCCAAAAATATTTATTAATAGGTATTATTTTAGTATTATTTATTTTATATACTATTATAACATTTATTAATATAATGAATTTAGATAATTTCTTTTTTTTCCCACTGAAATTAAGCTATTAGTCATTAAATGTGCTTCTGTCTTTTTTATATTTATTTCAGTTTTAGTCATTTTAGCATAGTATTTCAGCTCATCTTATATTTTTTTCAGTTGCCAAGGCAAGTGTGAGTTTTAGGTTTTTCACCTAATATTTATATTTAATTTTATTTCAGCTTTATTTCAATTAACAAAGTCGCTTTTAAAGTTTAGCTAACAATATAATGTTATTATTTCCATGGAACACAAAAGGAGCTTGACAGCCATTGTCATAACAGTTGTTATATTGTAAGAGCTGCATGAAGGTGTTTTGAAACGTTCTTTTGTGTTCCACAGGAAATGTAACAGCACACAGATTTTGAAAGTCATGAGTAAATGACAGAATATTCATTTTTGAGTGATCTATTCCTTTAATGCCGAAAAACAAACTGATTACGACGTCACCACCCACACAAATGTTGCATGAAAAGATAAATGACTCCACACTAACTTAGCCATTATGACAATATTTTGCTGCTATTGACTCAATATGAATGATGTCATATAACAGTATGCTTTATCTAAAGAATGCTGGACACACTCCCACACATGACCCCCTCTCTGTCATCTCTTCATTGTAGAATACACAATCCAGTCCTGTCAATCTTCTTCAGAAACACACACACTAGTGGTGGGCAGATAATTTGCTGCGCATGTCTTCCAACCTTAAGAGGCTTTTAAGAAGGCTGGGTCGTGTGCTGAAACACTCTTATATAATCAATCTTTGGGATTATATAAATGGGGATAGCTTGTTTCTAATGTCTTTATAGCTGGAGTTTATTAAGATTACCCTTTACTTAAACTGCACAAAAAGATTAAACGTTGAGGCGGTGGAACGCTTCTGAGAGCCATCAGTGAAAAGCTACTAGTGCTGGATCTGGTGTGTCCATTAACTTGTGTTTGGTTTGGGATGATAGAATTGAGCAGCTAAATCAATGTATTTTCTCTCATGCTCCCTACAGCATTGCAGATACAGATGGAGAAACTGGGCCAAACTGCGTAACACACACATTTTGTGTAACTCACACTCTGGGAACTCTGAGACTGTTGCACGATTGTCCAGAGCGGCCAGCGAGACAAGAAACGTGAACCAACATCTCAGCGGAGTCTTCTGAAAGTGAAATGAGGATGTGTTATTAACACTTTTTGAGAAAATATTTCAATTCTAACTCTTTACAACTTTCATTTATTCCTATACACAATTTACGTACAATTTTAATGACAATAGTGCTTGAAAGAAATACAACACACACATATCTGCTGTAAGCTATGACACTGACTAATGTTTGAAATGACTTGTCAGTAAACTCAGTAGCTATGTTTTATTTTGAAGGCTGCGCCTTATGGAGGTTGTGTTTGTTGGCCACATTCATCACTGAGGACGTCTCATTTAAGAAAATTAACCATTATAAAATTAACTGTTGTTCCTTGTGAGGCATAAATTACTGTAATTTCTTTCATACTCTGCAATGTAATGGTTACTTTTCCTAAATGAGATGGCCTAAATTACGTTTTCTGCCGACAAATGTGAACTCTGGAGGCCGCAGCTTTTGAATTGAGACAGCAAATTTTCTGAAAGCTATACATGAGAGCTATAAGACTGAACCTCCAAAAAAGGAAAATATTGCTGTTATATGTCAAAATACTGTATGGGGCATCCTTTCAGAAGTGTTCTCCTTGTAGAGGAACACCCACAATGACAATCAATCCTCATGACGTGTGTGTATGTGGCTGACAGCTGTTGCAGACACCTCTATTATCTGTGCTAAAGAATGAATCGGTCTGTCTTTGGGTTTTTCAATGTTCTTTTTTATCAGATACCCATGTCAAGGTCATCAAAGTCCTTATTTGATAATGTTATTAATATGAAATAAAATAAGTGGTGCCTTTATTAAAACAACTAACACATATTAAAGAGATATTTTACTCAATATGAAAAATATCACTTTTTCAGCCTCATTTTTTAAACTCATATGACTTTCTCTCTTCTGTGAAGCAAAAAATTATAATTTTTTTAGCTTATATTTTTAATTTTTATTAGATTTTATTTATTTGTTAATAATTTGTTTATTATTGAATGACATTTTCAACGATAACTATTTCACATTTCTGATGAAAGTAGATTGGGACAAGGCCCTAGTTAAAAATAAATATACTAAAATTTATTTGAAATACATTTATTTCATGCTAAGTGTACTACAGATACATTTACATATGTATGTGCTTTTAGTATGGTATGCGACTTTTAGTATCCCTTACCAAAAAGTAGTATACTTCAAGTTTATTTTAGTTCTTTCCTATTTTTAGTTTAAAAGAAGTATACTAATAGCACACTTGAATAAACTTCTTTTTCGTAAGGGATGGTATGCGACTGGTGCATGTAAAGACCAATATCATTCAAAGATCGTACAATCCTCATCAATACTGACATTACAACACATTTTAGGCTTCATATTAAGAAATGTGCATTGAGCACAAGTAGTACTCAATACAGTTGAATTATAATTTTTATATCAGTAAGTCTTGAGTGATACGTCAGTAAATATGTTAATAGATTTTAACTATACTTCACATGAAATAAATGTATTTTAAATATATAACTTTTTTACAAGGGGGATAGTCGTAGTTACCATTTATTCTCATTATATGGAAAAGAGCAGCTTGGAAAATCTGTTAAATATACTTTTGTATTTCACAGACAAAAAAAAATTGTTTTTTTTTAAACAACATAAGGGTGAGTAAATAATGACAGAATAATACCCTTTTTGGGTGAACTGTCCCTTTTACAACAACAGAAATATTGGACTTTTTTGATGAATAAGCACTCTATAACGTTGTATTTGGTCGCTGCAAAACTGATGGTAGAGCGATGTGGGAAAAAAATAAATAATAGAATAAATCAGATTAAAGCTGATCCTTTAATACACTGCGCCTCATTTGATTCTGTGCACTGGTGACTTACAGCAAACTGTCTGATAACAGACGTCTGGTGTGAGTTTTTTTTTTTTTTTGTTCAGAGCAGTGAGGGTTGTGTGCAAATGTATTTTTAGGTATATTCTCCTTTCCCTATGTGCCTGTGTGTTTGAGAGCTGGAGCTTGTCATGTCTGTCAGTGGAGGAACTGTGCTGCCATAGGTCGATTCCCACGCATTCAATCAGAGCTGTGGCTTGTGTCACACACATTCACACACACTAACACACATACATGCACTCAGAGGAAGAAACGAGACCTTCACTGTTAAACCAGCCGACCTCAAAGCTCCATCACTGACAGTAAGTATATCCAAATTCCAAACTTTTCTATTGATGTCTATGGAATAGGCTATGTGACACATCTGTCAGTCTCTGGACAGAAAGATGAGTCACTGTGCACCTGCATCTGGTGAGAAATATTTGTATGCATCTTTAACAGAGTTTAAAAAGGGGTCAGATTTATACTTAAGAGTTTTGGCAGTTTGTGTATTGTGGTGGGAAGGTCTTAAGGAGAAACGACAGGGAGGAGAGAAAGACGATGCCTTTTTTGGTGTTACATTTCAATTTGTTGGAGCGTATTCATGCTGCTTTTCTGTCAAGCGTGTGGGATGGTAGCTACAAAAACACTGAAGATGTAAGGGGGAAAAATACATGCAGAGCCTGAGCCAGTATCACAGGCAGCAAACAGACAGGATATCCTTCACCAAACTTACTGTCGTTATTTTTACCATGTTGTTCTGCAAGCAGATTGGAACTGCATATTCTGGAATAAAGCTTTGCCTCATTCCCC